CATAAAAACAACAGACATTTATTTCTCACAATTCTGGGGGCTTGGAAAACCCAAGGTGGAGGTATTGGCAGGTTGGGTGTCTGGAGAGGACTCATTTCCTGGTTCATAGATGGCTGTCCTCTGTCTGTGTGTTCACGGAGTGGAATGGATGAAGTACCACTCTGGGGTCTTTTTTATCAGGACGCTCATCCCATTCACAAGGGCTCCCCCTCATAACCTAATCACCTTCTGAAGGCAAGTACCATCACATTGGGGATTAGGATTTAATACATGCAATTGGGGGAGGGTTAGTTAAACATTGAGCTTGTTGTACTTTACCTCTTACTACCATCCCCATGGCCCTGCTTCTGCCACCTGGTCTCTTTGCCACTTCTGGACTATGCTAGCTACATTCCTGCCTCAGGGTCTTTGCAACTGCTCTTTCTCTGTTTGGAAGTCTCTTCCTTCACATGCCCACACAGTTCAACCCTTCACCACCTAGAGGTTCCCTGCACACCAAGGCTGTTCTGACCACCCTCCTTAGCCTTGTAATCCTGCTCACTACAGCAAACTAGTCCTTCCTTGCTTGATTTTTTTAATAGCACTTACCATCTTATGATATATGTTTTTATCATTCCCAGCACCTTAAACAAGCCTGGCATGTGTAGTTGCTCAATGGGCCATTCCTTGAATAAATGATTGAATGCATGAATGAATGCAAGTGAGCTAAATTGTCAAATTAAAGTCAAGGTTTACTTTCCTGGGCACCACAGCCAAATGCCACCCAACAAAGTCCCAGCCCCTGGGAAGGGGAGAGCCATTCTTATAAGAGGAGCTTGGTAGTCAGTGGAACCTGAGTTTGAAGTCTAGCTTTGTCATTTGAGAATGTGTGACCTTGGCTATTTACTTAATTTTGTCGAGACCTCAATTTCTTCATTTATAAAATGGGGATAATGATAGAGTCTCCCTTGTAAGGTAGCTGGATGGAAACAATCAAAGCAATGATATAAAATAAATACTTATCACTGGCCTGGTTTATAGCAAGTGCTCAGTACATGTTAGCTAGTAATGGTGGTGTGATTTTGTTGTCAACAGGGGACAGCTCGTAAAGCAGCAGTGACTGTTGACCATGAAGAAGCAAATGTAATCTTCCAGAAAGAAGGCTTGCTATTAAGAAAAATCAAGGATACCAGCCTTGGTCAGCCCCTGCAGGAGCATGGTTCTGGGACTGCTCTTTTTAAAAATGCACATAAATTAAAGGAAGCTGTTAAGAGGAGGATAATCAGGAGGGTAAAATTGAAAAGACTTACAGTCTTGCCTAGGATGATGATCTCTAGCAAGAGCTGGTTTGTTCCACACATGCTAAAGAAGTTATAGTCTACATCCGGGGTTGGCAAATATTTCTGTAAGGGCCAGATAGTAAATATTTTAGGTTTTGCATGTCTTCTGGTCTGGGTCACAGCTACTTGATTCTGCTGTTGATGTGTGAAAGCATCTGTAGATGATGCGTAAATGAAAGGGTGTGGCCATGTTTCAACAAAACTTTATAAAAACAGATGGAGGGCCAGATTTGGCCCTTGGGCTTATAGGTTGGTGATCCCTAGTCTCTAGGATCTATCTCATCATAAGATGGCGGAAGGAATGTTTGAGAAGACTGGATTATTCTGAGGGTCCTCAAGGGTGGAGAAGTGGGCTAAATGATAGAAAGTATAGGTCTATAGATTTTGTTCCTTTTAAGGAAGATGTTTAACCAGCCAGAGTTTCTGGTTGAGCCCAGTCCAAATGGGCTGTACTGGGCAGAAGGCTGTGAGTCCTCATCTGTGAATTTCATCAAATGAAAGCTAGGGCAACTTGGCAGAACTATTGGAAAGTATATTCAAACATTGGATAAGTGATTTAATCCTCTGGGACTTTCAAAATCCCTGATTATTGGGATATTCTAAAGTATGTACATATTGACATTCAGGGAAACAAAGTCATAGATTTGGTGCCTCTCCAATGAGTGGGTCATTGAAATGTGCAGACTGAACACAGTTTTATTTTCTAATTATATCACCAAACAGATCCTGTGTACATGCTCATGGGTGAAAATCAATGAAATGCATTGTCAACTTCATTTAAGACATAATCAATCTCACTACTGGTTTGGGTCTCTCATGAAGACCCAAACACTGACCATAAACTGTAGTCCCTCCCACTAATAAAATAGCATGAAGAATGTATCAGAATGGCAAACATTTAATACAGGGGCCTCTATTCCTCCCACTTCTGTGCACACAAAATATTGCTAATTAATTTTGACTCTCCTTGAAACTTGGCCTCAAATAGTTAAGGTTCTAGAATTTTTATAATAGCAGAGACTTAGAGCCAGCTGTCTCATTGAATAGAGGTGAATTGTGGGATCAAAGCTGAATTACGTTAAAGAGTGGAGGAAGAAATGACTGAGAACTCCAAATACCCCCTCCAAAAGGACTCACTTTGGCCTCCCACTGCCCCAGAATCCTTCCCAACACATTGTTCTAGGCAGCTACCATCAATTTATTGCAGGTGGCTCTTCGTCATCTTTGGTTTAGAAAGTTTAAGGGTAACAGTTGACCTTTCCTATAACCTCCTAGAATTTGGTCAGTGGACAGTGAGTTGGTTACCTGGGATTCTCGGTTGAGCATCCTGTACAGAAAAAAAAAAATCAGGAAGATGGGATCTCTCAGCCTCTTTGACATCATGGCATTTTAATGAGATAGATATAAGAGGCGACTCAAAATTTTGGGGTGTAGGCGTATCATTGGGTCAAGTGCTGATAAGTCAGGTGCTGATAAATGTGATAATTTGGGGACACCTATTCACCTGACATTTTTCTATGTGCTAAGATCACCTGTGTCCATACCCAAACAAATTATAGGGCTGAAGCAAGATCTTTGAAAGAATGGGATTCTGGTGACAGACATGGGAGTGGTGTTCTTAGCCACATGTCCACACTTCATGCTGAATATGAGGGGGAGGAAGGAGAGCAAGGGTGGGAGCAGAGGTAATGCATGGCTAGGGAAATGTGAAATGTTCCCTAGTGGGAACAACTTTCAGGAGGGCAGTCCCAAGTTTAGAGGATTTGGGGGTTGAAGCGGAAATAGTCAGGGTCTTGTCATAGAAGATGGTAACCAACATCAGATCCCAAAGATCAAGATAGCAATGTCAATGGTGCAATAGGCAGCAAGACTAGCCTTTGGAAGGGTTGTTTGCATGTTGGAAGTAGGTATGGAAATGGATGGATGGATGGATGGATGGATGGAGAAAGCAGAAATTATAAAAGTGCTTGTGTTTATGTCTCACGCAGACTCAAATATAAATACATCTTCATAGCTCAGGGTTTCTCAACCTTGGCATTGTTGACATATTGGACCAGGTAATTCTTTGTTGTGGGATACTATCCTGTGTACTATAGTACCTACCCACTAGATGCTGGGGGTACTTACCCCCTTCCCACCCTCCTAGTTGTGAAACCACACATGCTTCCAGACATTGCTGAATGCCTCTTGAGGGCAAATTGCCCCCAGTTGAGAAGCACTGCATAGCCTGCCAAGCTGTGGTTCACAGTGCATATTATGGGGTGTAGAGGAGACCTGCTAGTCCAGACTGGAATGGGGGATCTGGAAGAAAAGGAAGAGCCTTCTAGGCCTGTAAATTTGCTGACTTAAAAGCTTAGGAAGGTTCCCTCAGATCAATTGCCACCTTTCTGGTTTCCATCTTCCTGACTTAGAGGTTCCATCTCCTGTGCTCACACTGTACATCACACATTCTCCCAATAAAGCTACTTATATACTTATATACGTATATTTCTTATATTGCCATTATTTGCATGATTTTACCATGCAAGACTTTAAATCCCTCTAGGGCAAGAGTGTATTCTTTTATCTTTGTCTTTCCAGAACTTATCATTGTTCTTGACATATAGAAGTTGCTCATTAAATATTTTCCAAGCACATAAATGAAGCAATGAAGGAGTGATTTGGAAATTGTTCCCTGAACCTCCATCACCACAATTGCACAAGAAGCAGGGATCCTGAATCATCAACAGAACAGATATCAGAAGTGGAAAATGATGAGTCCTCTTCTGGAAAAGCATAAGTCAGCCTGAGAGTGAGGTTCCTGAGTCACTGAGGTGAAATGAACTCTGAGTGGAGGGGGTGGATAATGAGGCTGAGCTCGGGTTTGGGACCAGGCCAGGGAGGCAAAGTAGGCAGGTCTTACCCTGGGTCCCACCCCCTCTGTAAGACCAAAGCAGCTGATACTGACTGGCTGCCTGTGCAGACTCGCCCCCCACCCCTCCACACCCCCATGTTGCTGCTGCTCCTCTAGCCCAGCAGCTGGGAGCACATCCACCAGTTAATGGACCTCTTGAAGAGGTCCTCAGCCAGGAGCATCAGCACAGCTCCCTACCCAACGGTCCTACTGAACCAGTGATTTCAATTAAAGGACCATTATCATGAAATCCTATCCAGCCCCAGCTCCCATCGGCCAGCGGGAGGCCTTCCTGCTCCCTGTCCCAGGCCCTGATCTGTGGTTACCAAGCAGCCCTCTCACTGGGGTCCACCGCCTTCACTAAAACACAGCAGCTGCTGCTAATAAACAAACATATTGATCATACAGATATGGGATGTCAGGGACTTAATTCATGAATGAAGTGAGCTTTAAGAGTGCCCAGTGGGAGCTGGCTCCATTTAAAGGGCCAGCAGCTGCCTGAGTTCTTTTGAGAACTTCACAACCAAGTCAGGCCAGGGGGGAAGCCTCTCTCTGACCTCTGTCCTGTGGTGCCCTATGGGTATGAAATGGAATCTTCTACCCCATGGGTACTGCCTTACCGAGTCATCTGCCTTTCTCCCCTGGGACCTTTTGTGCAACTTCTAGGTAGTCAGATGTGGCTGGAGTGCTCTCTTGTCTGACAGAAAAAGGGCTGGGGCCAGCGCAGTGGAAGAGAGGGAGAAGAGGACCTGTCCAGGACCCCTGGCTTGGGCTCTTGGGCTCCCTACCCTGATGATGCTGATAATGGTCTCAATTCTGGCAGCTGATCTTCACCAGGACCTGCCTTCTCACTGGAGCAGATGGTGTAAGGGTCCGGGAGCCCTGACGAAGGTTCTACATTGGGATGCTAGAGGTCATAGACATTCCTTAATGCAATCATTCCCAAGCCAGACTGACCACCTCCTAATCAGTCTTAGCATCTAGTCAAGAGCAAAGGCTCTGGAACCAGACTTCGGAACTCTGAACCCCAGCTCTGCCACTCACAAGCTATGTGAGCTTAAACAAGTGTCTTAACCTCTCTGTGCCTTATCTGTATAGAGGGAAATTTGTTGCTGTGGAGATTAAAATGAACCAATATGCGCTGTGCTTGCAAGAGTGCCTGGCACAGAGTCAAGTGTTTGGTACCAGTCTTGCCCCTAGCCTTGGCCTGGCACGGTGGCCAATAACCTCCACTGCATTCCTCGCCCTTCCTCCAGGTACCACCTAGGGAACTTATTTTATGAAGGTAGGTACAGCATGCTATAATGTATATTTCTTCCCTTCCCAGTATCCAAGAGGGCAGTTTCAGCCCCTGCCATGTCCCCAGCTGCCAACTGGAAGCTCAGGGTGGCTCCTGCATCTGGGCTGAAATCCAGCTGACATGAGCCTTCCCAGAGGTGAGCTACTGATGGTCCCCCCCCCCCCCCCCGCCAGACTATGTTGGGGAAGGCTGGGCTGTCCAGCTCCTTTGTCTCCTCAGCTTTGTCTAGAACTACACCGACCCAGTATGGTAGCCACCACTAGTTAGCCACAGCTACTTACATTTAAATGAATTAAAATGAAATAAAAAAAATTAAGTCCTCAGTCACCTGAGTCATATGTGGCCATTGTATTAGTGCAGATCACAGAACATTTCTATCTCTGAAGAAAAGTGTTGGTCTAGAAGCTGGATGACAGGAAGGGAGTCGCCTCCACTCAGTTCTTTAAGCCCTAGCTACTCAAAATGAGGTCCATAGATCCCACCGTCAGCTCACCTGGAAACTTATTAGAAATTCAGACTCTCAGGCCAAAGCTCAGACTGACTGAGCCAGAGTTTGCATCTTAACAAGATTCCCAGGTGGTTTGTGCCTATTACAGTTTTTGAGAACTACTGCTGTAAGCCTCAGTTTCCTGTCATGGAAAAGGGGAATAATACCTTGTGGGATTAAATGAGGTGCATCATATAATGTCCTTGCCAAATGGAAAATGCCGCATAGCTGCCAGACCCCTTTACCAATGTCATCTGCCCCAATGGAAAGGCCAGCAAGTCTGCTTGTCATTGAGCCCAGAACCTGGGGATTTGTGGAGTCTGGAGGGGACCACTGCTGTCCTTCACTGTTGAAAAGACAGCGCCTGAGGTTAGGAAGGGGAACAGCATCTACTCTCCAAACTGCCCATATTTGTTTCCCAGAGACCCAGCTGGGAAACCCTAAGGCCAATGGCTCAAGGGATGCTGATCAGACACAGTCAAATTTGGCACTGAGCAAGGGGCTGGGGACCCAGGTTACAGAGAGTGTTGTCTTTGGCTCACTGTAAAGTGATGGATAAACAAGCAAACATTATTTTAATGCAGTGTGGTAAGACACAGGGGAGAGCAAATTCCAGGTGGCTGTGTGAGCCCAGTGGCGCTTTGCCAGGCCTCAGAGAGAGAGCCAGGAAAGACTTCCTGGACCACTGGCGCTTCTTCCAGATGACATGGTTGCAGAACAGGGTTGGCAGGAGAGATGTGGTGGGCACAGCAGGCTGAGGGAGACTGCAGAGCAAAAGGATGAAGTTCTTTTTTTTTTTTTTAAGATTTTATTTATTCATGAGACACACGGTGTATGGGGGGGTGGGGAGGCAGAGACACAGGCAGAGGGAGAAGTAGGCTTCCTCCAAGGAGCCCGATGTGGGACTCGATCCCAGATCCCAGGAGCCAAAGGCACCCTGAGCCAAAGGCAGACGCTCAACCACTGAGCCACCCAGATGTCCCAAGGATGAAGTTCTGAAGTGAGGTGGGCATGTGATTCTGCCAGAAGATGGAGGCTAAGGGCGGATGGAGCTGACAGCGAGCCTGGTTAAGGCTAGAGATGGGCAGGGGTTCACACAAGGGGTTGCATCTGCCATGCCGAAAACTATCCTGCAGTGAGAAAATTACTGAAGGGGTTTAGGCAGAGGAACAATGAGGTGGCATTTTTGAACCGGAAAGGTCACAGAAGCCACCCTGTGGAGAAGGAGCTGGAGGCAGGGAGGTTGTTAGGGGGTTGGGTGGATGTTCAAGGGGGGAAGGTACAGGTCTGGGCTCCCATGGGCCGGGCTGGGGTTGGCAGGGAGAGGAAGACTAGCTCTGAGGACAGGCGGTCAAGCATTAACCCATGAGCCATACATCTCATTAACTTTGAATTTGTGATTACTCTTTTAGTAGTCCTGGACTGAAGTTTACTTATGTTCAGACATCTTTTTTTTTTTTTTTTTTTTACAAAGGGTATAAGCCCCCGGATCTAACAAACACAGTGAAAGCTGTTTTCAGAGGGAAATTTATAGCCTTAAATGCCTTCATTAGTAATGAAGAAAGACCCACTGGCCGGTTCTGCTGACAAAGGGGGTGGTACTCCGTAATCATCTTAAGAAATTAGAGAAGGAGCATTGAATAAACTAAAAAAAAAAAAAAAAAGAAAAAGAAAAAGAAAAAAAAAGGAAAGTGATTTTAATAAAGATAAAAGCAGAGATTAATGAAATAAAAATGAAAGCATATTAGAAAGTATAAATAAAAGCAAATCTTGTTCTTTGAAAAGACTGGTAAAACAGATGAATCTAGTTTGAGAGCCTGATTAGGGGAGGGAGAGAGATTAATGGGAGAGAAATCAGAGATGGTATAAATTAACTGCCAGAGCAGGATGGTCGGGAGGAAATTGGAAGTGCAGATTCAGAAGCCTCCAGAACTCTTCCCACACCAAGAGTGGTGACAGCAACCCCAATCCTCATTCAGCCCTTCATTCCCAAAAGCCTGTGGATACAGCAATATTTGGTGAATATCATTCTCCTTACCAACATAAAAAACAACAGTGACTCACATTTATCTAGCTGCTTTCTGTATGCCAGACACAGTGCTGCCTACTTTGCCTGGGTTTTATTTTAATCCTTCCAGCATTTCAACCAGATGGATCCGGGACTCACACCACATCCATTTTACAGATGAGAACATCAAATTTAGCACAATCCAGTCATTCGTCTGCAGGTCCTCCCTCTCTCCAGAGGCAGCCTGGCACCTGGTGCCCCCACATTTCACCCTTGCATGACGCTGCCCCTGAGTGAACAAATTGGAAGATATTAGGTGCTTTGGTGCCTGGCAAAGGATGTTCTGGGCCTTGGGTTCCAATCTTAGCGTTGCCATTTAGACGCTCAACTTTGGAGAGTTGCTGAGCCTTTGTAGGGCTCAGTTTACGGTTCTCTCTTTTTTTCCTTCTTTCATTCTCTCTCTCTCTTTCTTTTTTAAGTAGGCTCCACACCCAGCATGTGGAGCCAAATGCAGGGCTCTAAGATCAAGACCTGAGCTGAAATCAAGAGTCAGACCTCCAACTCATGGAGCCACATAGGCATCTCAATTTACTCTTCTTTAAAGTAAGGGAGTTAGACTGGGCCCCTGTGATTTTAACATTCGTTTGCATCTTCCTTTGAAAGTGCTCTTAGGGACACCTGGGTGGCTCAGTCGGTTAAGTGTCTAACTCTTGATTTTGGCTCAGGTCATGATCTCAGGGCTGTAGGATTGAGCCTGTCATCAGCTCCATGCTCAGCATGGAGTCTGCTTGTCCCCCTCCCTCTTCCCCTTCACCCCTCCCTGCCCCCCTGCTTGCTCACTCACATGCTCTTTCTCTCTCTCAAACAAATAAATAAATAAAATCTAAAAAAAAAAAAGAAAGAAAGAAAGAAAAAGAAAAGGAAAAAGAAAAATGCTTTGTATCCAGATTTCATTGCTCATTCCAACAAGCCTCGGCATTCAGTACCAATTAGTGAGATACGTATGTTTCAGCACTGTGCCTCTTACCTTCAGTAATGGATGCCCTGGCAGCCCTCTCAATAAATAGACCAGAACACAACCTGCCACAGTAGGGAGTGGATAGGGGTGGCCAATGGCAGGACTGCCCTTAGACCTGGCAGCCCAGGCTCCTGTCCCAACCCTGACCCCCTCTGGTCCTCTTGTGGTTATGCCCTTCCCCAGAGTGCTAAGGGGAACCCATACTCTCTTCTTGACCTCGCTGCCTGGATGCTCTGAGTCTACTTCCAGGGCTGGTGCAGGCTTCACCTCCTGGGCCACTTCCCCAGGATGAATTCCCTGGTGTGTATACCTCCAACCCCAGAGAGTATCCTGGGGAAGTGACATGTGATGGGGCTGTGGATAGAGCCTGGCTTTGCAGGACTTGGATCCCAGAGGCAGGAGGGCCCCAGGCCCCTTGTGGTATAAGAATGAGGGGGTGTCGGAAGGGAAGGGGGAGCTGGAGCAAGGGCTCCCATCTGAAGTCTTACCCTGTGACATGGCACTGAGAACTTGTTGATAAAGGAAAATGTAGGCAAGCCTGGGTGGCTCAGAGGTTGAGCAACTGCTTTTTGCTCAGGTTGTGATCCTGGGGTCCTGGGATTGAGTCCTGCATTAGGCTCCTCCCAGGGAGCCCGCCTTTTCCTCTGCCTATGTTTCTTCCTCTCTGTGTGTGTGTCTCTCATGAATAAATAAATAAAAATCTTAAAATAATATATAAGTGAAGGGAAATGTAGTTGGCTGGGAAGACTTAAACTCCTACAAAAGACACATATACATGTGAATGACAGGCAAAAAAAAAAAAAAGAAAGAAAGAAAAAGAGAGGTCCCAGGACAAGGCAAGGTTAACTATTAGAGGGGCTGGGTAAATTAACACACTTACAAAGGGAATCCCTCAGGAGGGGGTTAGGATCACCTAAAAGAGAGAAAACTAGAGTTTAGGAGGCAAAGGTTGGGAAACCAAACCTACAGAAGTCTATCCTGCTCTCTGATCTCACAACCAGCTCACTCTCTTTGGCCCTGCCTTGAAGCCCACCAGAGTAGTTCTCTGATGAGAATTCGGCCCTCCAAAAAAAATAAATAAATAAAAATTAAAAATAAATAAATAAATAAATAAATAAATAAAAAGAATTCGGCCCTCCAAAGAGGCATGCCAAGATTCATTCACTCCCTCATACATTCATCAGCAAATATTTATGGAGCTCCTTCCGTGTGTGAAGCACTGCCTGGAACAGTGATGGGCAGGACCAGACCCAGCCTCTTGATGGAGGCAAGCATTGATGGAAGAACCTAGCACATAAATGTCGATCCTGCATGCTTGTGAACACCATCCCTCCCCCCCGCCCCCCGGCAAGGAAAGAGAGGGCAGGGTGTCATGGGGTGGTATGGCACAGGACCTGGCCTAACACAAGAGTTATGGGTCTTTCCCAAGGAAGTGGCATTTGCTGCTGGGGCAGGGAGAGGACGGTCTGGCTACAGGTAAGGTCTGAAGAGGAGGGAAGAAGCTGGAAGGTGAGCAGGAGCCACAGGAGAAGAAGAGCCCCAGGGGAGCCTTCCAGACTCCAGCTCACTTCCCTCGCTGTAGGTAGGGCCATTTCTTAAGTGAGAAGGACACTGGAAGGAACAAAATTCAGGGGTGGCGGTTTGGGAGAGATCATGAGCCTGGTGTTGGACCTATTGATTCTGAGGCACTTAAAAAAATTATTTTGAAATAATATCAAACTTGAAGAGTTGTAAGAACAGGACATAGAACTCCTGCGTCTCCTTCTCCCAGACTCCCCAGTAGTCAGCCTTGACCACATCTGTTCCACTGTCTTGAAATCCACCCCCCGTCAAGACACTCTTCACTCCCACCACCAGGAAAGAAACCAAAGCTCCGTTCACATTACACCAGTTGTCTCATCCAGGTCTTTCCTCTTTTTGGCCCAACATCCCACCCATGAATACACATTGCCTTTGGATGCCATACTGCTTCATTCTCCCCTCTGGAATATTCTCTCAGTATTTCCCTAACACTCAGGTGCATTTTGGAGATTACAGACCAGTCCTTCAGTAGGATGAACCTCAGCCTACATTAGCATGAGGCTTTCTCATGACAAAATTCAGTTTGGGTTTTTTTTTTTTAACTCAGGTTTATTGAGGCTTAATTTACATACAGTAACATTCATCCTTTCAAGTCATGGTTCTGTGAGTTTTGACACATGCATAGCACTGTGTAGCCACCACAATAGATAAGTAGAACATTTCCATCCAGGGCTGGCTTCACGGGCATGTGATCTGGGTTTAGAAGGGTGCTGTGCTTGGCTTAATGCTTTCTTCTCACTGTCTTGAATTTCTTAATCATTTCTGAACAAGGGCTCTGCATTTTCATTTTGCACTGGGCCCTGCAAATTATGTAGCTGGTCCTGTTTCCCATCATTCCAAAAAGCTTCCCCCAGCCCCTTTCCCTCTTGGCAACAACACTGACCTGTTTTCTGTTCCCATAGCTTGTCTTTTCCAGATGTCATTTAAACGGAATCATACAATATGTAGCCTTTTGAGTCTGGCTTCTTTCACTTAGCATGATGCATTTGAAATGCATCCCTGTTGTTCCATGTAGCAATTGTGTGCTCCTTTTTATAGCTAAGTATTGTTCTGTGATACGAATGTTTGCTTATGACATTCAGTCGAAGGGCATTTGAGTTGTTTCCCATATTTGGCAATTATGTTGAAAGTCCCAATAAGTGTTCACATATAGGTTTCAGTGTAAACATATGTTTTTATTTCTCCTGAATAAAGAGTGATAATAAAGAGAAGGGAGCTGCTGGGTCCAATGGTAAGTATATGTTTAACTTTATAAGAAACTGCAAAACCGTTTTCCAAAGTGGCTATGCCCTTTTGCATTCCCACTAGCAATTCATGAAAGTTCCAGCTGCTCTGCATGGTTGCCAGCACTGTTTTTGTTTTAACCATTTCAGTAGGTATGCAGTGATTTAATGTTGCATTTCCCTAATGACTAATGATGGTGAGCATCCTTTCATGTGCTTATTCACCACCTGTTTATCTAGGTTTTTAAAAATTATTTATTTATTTAGTTATTTATTTATTTGAGAGAGAGAGAGAGAGAGAGAGAGCATGCATGGGGGGCGGTGAGGAGGGAGGAGCAGAGGAAGAGGGAGAGAGAGAATCTTAAGCAGACTCTGTGTTGAGTGTGGAGCCCAATGTGGGGCTCGATCTAACCACCCTGAGATCATGACCTGAGCTGAAATCAAGAGTCAGACACTTAACCAACTGAGCCACCCAGAATCCTTACTATAGTATGTCTTCTTAAAGTGTCTCTCCATATCTTTGGCCTATTAAAAAAATTTTTTTTAAGTAATCTCTATGTCCAGTGTGGGGCTTGAACTCACAACCCCAGATCAAGTGCTAAATGTTCTACCAACTGAGCCAGCCAGGGGCCTGGGGTTTGTTTTTCTACTATCAACTTTTGAGAGTTTTAAAATACATATTTAAAATGCAAGTGCTTTATCAGATATCTGTTTCATTAACATCTTGACCTGAAGTACTTTTGAGACACTAAAGTGAGGAAGGTCCTTAGCAGGTGATATAAAACATGGCTTAATTATTTTATAAATTGAAATAAAAAACACGGGCATGGGTACAGTTGCTGAGGGAGAAAGAAGAGCCTTGAAGGAGGATAGAGCTGATGATGGAGACTTTAGGATTTACCACATTTAATAGCCAGGAGACATGGGATGATCTAGAATAGGAGCTTGAGAAAGAGCTGCCAAAACGGTAAGAGAAACCCAGGAAAGTGTGACAGGATGCAAGACAAGAGAAAGGAGTGTTTCTAGAAGAAGGACATGGATGAGAGTGACAGACATAGTTGGGAGACCAAGTAAGGGGAGGAGAGATTGAGCAACATGAAAGTCATTGATGACCTTAGCAGAAGCTATGGTGTGGAATGACAGAGCAGGGCTGGTATTCACACCATACCCAATAATGCAGTCATGCTGGTTGCTAGAATATTGAAATATGTATGTATTGATTGGTAAATAGCTACTACCCAAGCCCCTTAAATGCTCCCCCACCACCCCAGGCCACTGGCTCTTTCCCTGGCCTCCTCCACACAGTCTAGTAACAAAATAACCCTCCCAACCAACAGGGGGGTCTCAAGGACCCTGCCAGAACCCTAAAGGCTAGTTGGTAGTTTTCCAGGCCATATTGGTAATTAAGTATCCTGAATATCACTGCTGTGGATTGAGAAGTGAGTGGGAAGTGAAAACTGCTGTAATAACAATGCACAATTCTTTATGGAACTTTGCTTCTGAAGAGGAGGAGAGAGACAGGCAGAAGCTGGTGAAGATGTGAGGCCTGGAGTGTTTGGGGCGGGGGTATTAGATAATTTCTGTTGTTCTTTTTCAGATGAGAGAGACTTGAGCCTATTTAATGCTGAGGGGGAAGGAGCGATCCTGGCTAATGCTTAGTCAGGAGCGATCACCCTAGTTAGCCAGATTCATACTCTGCATGACCATTACGTTGACATGTTTTTCAACATGAATTAATAAATTAGAGTCGAGGTATGCCTGGGTGGCTCAGTGGTTGAGTGTCTGCCTTCAGCTCAGGGAGTGATCCCAGAGTCCCAGGATTGAGTCCCACATCTGGCTCCTTGTGGGGAGCCTGCTTCTCCCTCTGCCTATGTCTCTGCCTCTCTCTCTCTCTCTGTCTTTCTCTGTCTCTCATAAATAAATAAATAAATAAATAAATAAATAAATAAATAAATATTTTTTAAAAAATAAATTACAGTCCAGTTTGTATATCCATTTGAAGAACTCAGCTGATGTCAGTTGTTGCCAAATGACAGATTGATTCTTAGTGTGTTAACAAATTAATTTTCTGAACTCCTCACTTTATGCTTTGGTGAGTTTGCTGGTGTAAAATTTACTAAGATACCTTGGGAGATCCATTGGCTTCCAGTTAAGCCTTCCTGGCATCATCCCAACCTCCCTGCTAGACATTTGTTGGATCTTCTTAACTGCCCTCCCTACCCCTTCATCCCCCAACAAGTCTAGGCCAAGCAGGACCATGGCCCAACTACTAGAGCAAGCTCCAGATGCTCCCTGCTGACTCTGGAGATGGTATGTGTGTAGGTCCCTGAGTATCGATAAGATGAACTCTGCCTTGTAGAAGGAGAGACAAGAAGGTGCTAAACCAGCTTGAGCTAATACAAGAAAGACATCAGTGTGTGCCACCATAAGTACCAACAGAATGCTCACCAAGCATTGGAGCTCACCAAGGGTAGACAGGCTGTGCTAGGGCGGATAATTACTGCCTGAAACATGACTGGGTGTCATTCTTCCCAGCCCCGCATCTCATCTCTGGGGACTCCATGGGCCCTCATTCATATACATTCTAGGCCTGAGTAAGTTGTATCCTGGGATGGCATCTCTGGACATGTCCTTCCATTTGCACAGCTGTGCTGGGTCAGGATTGGGTTAGGTAGACATGTGCCCCCCACCCCCCACCCCAGGACTTAGAACCTAATCCATCCCCTTCCCTTAGATGCTTTTCAGACCCTCTAAACACAAAAGTCTCTCTTTGTCCATCTGATCCCAGGTAATTTCTCTCTGTCTTTTAGTAACTGAAGGGTTAGTGGCTCTTCCATGGCTGATTTTCCAAGTCTTCCCAGGCAGCCTTTCTATCACCTCATTCACTAGAAAGAGAAAAACACAAGCTTCATTCCCTTGATGAAAACATTTTAATACAGAAAATATTTGCTTCATCCCAGGGAGAAGGCCAAGTTTCCTTTTAGGACCAAATGTTCTGTAGACTTCCATGTAGCTTTCTGCTCATGCTGACTTATACATCTCTGAGGTTTCTGTCCATTTATGGGTGGAATCACCCTCCCTTCTCCCTTTCTCCCCAGCTAGCAAAGGAAGGAGTTGTACCAGACAGTGCAGAAGGCCTCTTCCAACTCTGCTGACTTACCAGCCCTTGTCCTTTGTGGTTGGTATCCGCTCTGATCCAAGGGCACCCCAACACCGCCATGCCTAGTGCTCACCTGAAACAGCTGCCTACATGGGACACCATCAAGGGAGGACACCCCGGTCTTGTGGCATTTCAGTTGCAAGGTTACAAAGTAAGGTTAATGGGAAATAATGCCTCCTCATCATTTTTAACCTTTTTGAATAATGCCTCTGTGCATAAGCCAGAGGTTTTTATTCTAAAATCAATTGTGCTTGTTGTGCTCTTTGGAAAAATAAACAAGAAGCCAGTAGGAAAGAAGTGGGATCCAGGGTTTACTAACACAAAGAGGCTGGAGTGGAGTGTGGGGATGTGGTGCTGCCTGGCCTAGACTGCTGTTGTCCTGCAGGATGGGGTTAGCAGCCAAAACCTCGAGTGGTTGTTATGGAAGAAGAGAGCTCCTCACGCTACAAAAATGTACCAGACAGATGTGGGCAAAGCAGCTGTCTCTTATTATCCTCAGGCGCCCTGAGAGCCTCCATCCTCATCCCAGGGAAAATGGGGCCCTCTTTTCATGGAAGGGCTTTTAAGTCACAAAGATCAAATGTCAAATCCAGGTTTAGTCGCTTCTTAGCTGTGTGGCCTTGGGAGGGTCACTTGATGTCTTCTCTGTAGAATAGAGGAAGTGACGCCCACTGCATGGAATTCACAGGATCTCAGGAACCACAGAAACACTGGGCCAAGGTAGCTGATGGCTTGTGTTGGGGTCCATGGCTGTGAAAACCCCACATAGGCTCACTCCTAGGGTGGCAGGTGGAAATGTGGATCACTGATGTGGAAAGCCAGCAATCTAAGAGAACCAGACCAAGCTCAAGTGATGCAAGAGGGGTGGTAATATCAGCTCAGACTCCAGTTGGTTGAGCAACCGTAGTACTCTGGTGACAGCACTTGGAAACTCTGCCATGCGCAACACCAAGGTGTCCATGTTGGGTTCTCTGGTGAGCCACACAACATTCACCCAAGCCCACATGTACTCATGCATGCACGCCTACCATGCCATCTACACATGGTCCCATCTCAATGCTCAGAACCTCACTGTTTTCCCAAACCCACTTCCACTTCTCAAAGAAAAAAGGATGGGAACTCATTCTGTTGTTTGCAGGGGTAAGCCATGAGGAGGGTGGACTTTGTACTGGGGCTTTCTCGTTTTCATTAGAGATGTACCACATTACAGAAGATACTACACACCCAGGGATGCCCAGGTGGGTCAGTTGGTTGAGGATCCAGCCCTGCATTGGACTCTGTGCCGAGTGTGGAGCCTGCTTGAGATTCTATCCCTCCTTCTCCCTTTCCCCCCTTCCCCCAACTAGTACACACACTCTCTCTATAAACCAACCAACCAACAAATAAATACATAAAAATTAAAAGATAGTACCCACCTACTGTATGGCACAGAGCAGGCCCTCCAGGAGGCCTGTTAGCTTTTCCTTCTTTTTTTTTGGTTCTTACAGATGTGATAGGAGTAGGGAAGGTTATTTTCCAACTGAGCCTCAGAGATAACAGGGAGATCTTTCTGGAGAGACCACACCCCCAGTTTCATCCCAGTGACCTGTATTTATCTGCCTTCTGCTCTTCTCTAGGGTTCTCTTATTCATGACCTATGTCTTAATGGGATCAAAGGCAGAAGGGTGAAGGAGAGAGAGAGAGATGGAGAAAATGTAACTGTTTCTTCTTGCACACAGAAGATTATTCATGAGGTTTGGTACATTGGGCTCAGGGTCATCTTCATTCCTTGCCTGGTAAGAGAGGCAAGAGTGAGAGAAGACTTGGGATGGAGGGGTAGATGCTCCTGGTGAGCAAGGGAGAAACTGTGGGGAGATCGGGAGAACTGGGGGCAGTCTGGAAAGTTCTACAGTGATGTCTAGCTCTTCCAGGGACCAGGCTCTTCTTCTGAGACTCCCTCCACCAACATAGCATCTTCTCATTGCACCATCGTTGTGTCCTATGTAGATGGTGTGTCCTGGGGTCATGTAGCATGGCAACCCTGATGCTCGTAGCTCAAACTCCATCTGCAGTAGACATTTCCCTATGGGTGTGCCATTCCTGCCTGCCATGTGGTTAAGCTTTATGCCTGGAATGGCTTTTCATATCTCATATCAAAATTTGCCTTCCAATATTTATGTCATCCCAGACTCCAAACTCATTCAAGAAGCAATTTCACTTGCCTGAAAGATATTTATGGCTCAACTTTACCCAGATAAATGACCATCTTGGTGGTTGGGTCAGATACTGCTGGTTGCCTAGCCAACAGACCTCTCTGCACCCCAAATTCTTCCTTGATGGTAGAGCTAGCTTTCTACTATATATGTTAATGTCACAGACTCACTATGCCAACTGGACCTTAGAGGAAATGTGCAGGGAGGCTCCTGAGAAATGTTTTCCACTTTGATAAAAAGAGGCACATGAAGGGAAAATGTGCCCTCTTCTTATTATGAAAATGGTTGTGTCAGGATGTGATGCCTGGAACCACAGCAGCCACCTTGGGACATGAGGAGATGAGCCTAAAGAAAATCAAGAGGCCCCTGAGTGGCTCAGTTGGTTAAGTGTCTGACTTTGGCTCAGGTCATGATTTCAGAGTCCTAGGATGGGCCCCACATCAGGGTCCATGCTCAACAGACAGTCTGATTCTCCTTTTCTCTTTACCCCTCCCCCTGTTCATACTATCTCTCAAACAAATAAATCAAATCTTTAAAAAGAAAGAGAGAGAGAAAGAAAGAAAGAAAGAAAGAAAGAAAGAAAGAAAGAAAGAAAGTCAATAGGGAAGCCTGGGTGGCTCAGTTGGTTGAGCATCTGACTGTTGATTTTGGCACAGGTCATAATCTCATGAGTCATGGGATCAAGCCCCAAATGCTCTGTGCTCGCAGGGAATCTGCCTGAAGATTCCCTCCCTCTGCCCTTTCCCCTACTTGCACATGTACTCTCTCTCTCAAATAAATAAATAAATAAATAAATAAATAAATAAATAAATATCTTTTTTTTTTTAAAGAGAAAATCAATAATGATGGAAGAGGAGAAGGCAAGAAAGAACCTTGTTCTTTGATGACATTGTGGGACAACCAGATAGGGCTTTGAACTTCCATGCTTCCCTGACTTGTTAGGTTAGGTTATAACATGCTCTTCTTGATTAACCTTTGTTGGGTTTTCTGTTCCATGCAGCCAAAGGCATAGTAACTGACATACATTCACCTTGCTCCCCACCACCCTGAGTGTGGAATGGGGAAGGAACACTGGGTTAGGAATATAGCTCTTCTGTCACCTTCTTGTGGTGAGTCAGGGTTTGGTGGGAAACAGCTCAGGGAGTCAGGCTGGACTCCAGTCCTTGAGGAGAACTGGAGTCGGTTCAGGAACCAGGCAGCGGGGCACAAGGTCATTCTCAGTGTACCGGCAGAAAGAGCACACTGTTACCCTCTTGACATTGTCCAGGGAGCTACTGTGACCCCATGCCCACCTAGAAGGTGGCTTTCAACTCAGGCCACCTCTAGAAGTCCTTCTCACCTGAGTGGAGCAGAGATTAGAGTAAGCTGTGTGGCTGGCTCTTCTTAGCTCAGGGACTGTCCAGGATGAGCCTGCAGTTGGCAGGCTCAGAACCCACACAGGACATGATGGAAGTCTGAAAAGGCTTAACTGAGGTGTGGTCTGAGACCATTGGCTAAATTCTAGTCTCTGCTTTTTGAATTTTTTATGCTGTCCCTGTCTTTCCATCAAGCTGGCTATGAAAAAGTTGTCTGTGTCATACTTTGTCTGTGCAGGCTCAAATTACCCTTTGAGGAAACATCCTTGTCTAGAGCAAGAACCTTCACTGCAAGGGCAGAAACCTGAAAAACCTATCTGGCAAATGAAGAATATCTTTTGGAATCACAGAGCATCAGAACTGGGGATGTTGAGGCCCAAATGGGGATAGACCACTTTCTACTGTTAGTAGCTATGTAGTGGAAAAGTCAACATTCTGAATGCCCAGTCGCATGGACCCTATATAACACTAAACACATGAATCTATTTCATGGGTGCCCAAAACAGCTAAAATAAAGACATGGGGTGGGTGGGCTCCTGGGTGGCTCAGTTGGTTGAGTGTCCAGCTCTTGATTTCAGCTTAGGTCATGATCTCAGAATCCTGAGATTGAGCCCCAAGTGGGGCTTCATGCTCAGCAGGGAGTCTGCTTCAGGATTCTCTCTCCCCCTCTCTCTGCCCCTCCCCCCACAATGCACGCCCTCTCTCTCTCTCTCTCTCTCAAATAAATGCATATTTTTTAAAAGTTTAAAAGACATAGGGAAGTGTGTTCATGAAAATTAGGGCTGAGGGCAGCCAGGTTTGTCTTAGTGTCTTATTCTCTCAGACTCTGTAACCTTCCAACACTTGGGCTCAGGTCCCTGGTAGAAAGAAGATCTTATAATTTGGGGGTTCTCAGACATATGCATGAGAGGGCCTCAGGTTTTGATGGGTGTATCTCTTTTAAGATTAATTTTTACAAGATGACTGTTGGTTTGATTTGGTATTACATGGCTAGATAATTTACCTCTGAGATTTTCTGAAAATTGGCCATCTCTCATTGGTAATATCAAGAGCAGTGCCAGTCCTGCTCTTAATTCTGGTGATGATTTTCATTTGCAGGCACTATACGTAGGTAGCTGATGGGATCTTTTCCCTGTTGAAGTGGTTTACAGACTACAGTAATTCAAGAACTGCTGTCATTCTTTGTGCTTTGTAGGTCACTCAAATGAAAATTTAAGGACCAATGAAGCAATCCATATTTGTCAGGGAAAGAGTGGTGTTGGGGAGTCCTCAGGGGGATAGGTTGAACACTGAATGACTAGAATAACTTACACTCAGTGTGCTTTGAATACGGATGACCCACGTCTGCCTGTGTGGCATGAGTATTACACCTCCACATAGTTAATGTATCTTATGACTGCGTAGCACCACCCACAAATTCACACCTACCTTTGCACAGACACCCAGAACTGGGACATGGTGTGGTGTAGAGAAGCATGCACAGACCTTAGAGCAGAACAAATCTGGGCTCCAA